GTGAGCGAGCGCTGGATCTGGCGGGTGAGGAAGAAGATAGGGACTCGCCCGTCTCCATTCCCTCCGCCAGTTCCAGCTGCGAACCCCACGAGCGCAATCGCCGCTGCGCCTCGGCGGCAGCGGGACCCGCGCCGCGGGGAACGCTTGCGAAGGCACCCTCAGCAAAGAGTGCCTTCCGGGAGCGGAGAACATGCATCGGAAGACGCTCGCAATGCGGGCAGCAGTCAGCTCTCTCAAGTGACTCAGCATGCTCCGCTCCCAGGCAGACAACGCACAAACTGTGTGTATCCGCACCCGTAATGAAACGCGGGCAGGGAGGAACACACAGTTTGAAACGCTGGCTGCCTTCGCCCTTACTCAGATGGTGTTTCTTTTCATGTGCTTTAGACATAATTCTTTCTTTTATTTTTTTGTTTCTTTCTACGGGACAGACAACACCAAATAAGACTCACAACTGACACACACACAGAGCGCTTGCTGAATCACAAAAAGCTGACGTTGGTCTCACCGCACGTGCTTTTATAGCTTCCAGGTCATTACGTCACCCGCCGTGACGTCTCGCCCATCTATTGGTCTGATTACACACGAGGTTCAGAGCCCGTCACGCTGAAGGGCGTTCCCCTAGCGTTTCCGACGCAGCTCGAGTTCCTGAAGAGGAACACATGTTGCTGGTTATGTTTACACTGTAAAACCCCTAGTGTTAAACAAACTCTGCTCAGTTTTCATATGATCCTGATCTACAGAGAGTAAAAGTAACACTGAAGTAGTGTTGTAGTTAGTGAAATAAAGTAGATTCACTCTAGGAACAGCAGGAACAGAAAAAAAGTGAAGAGGTGAGCAGAAACACAACAACTACTTACAGCCACACAGCCTTAGATGAAATCGATATCTCACCAGAGGATGATTAAACAACTGCAAAAACAGAATTACCTTATTCACTTATTGCAAACCAGTTTGGCTTTATTTCTTTCATATGGTACATGCACCATGTTGCTAAAGTCTGTTACCATTATGGGGATTAGTGTTCCCTTTAGTTGGGCACTTGGCCATTGACTTTGATTGAATTAACTCTGTTTCAGCCATTGTTAAAAGTGCACGCTATCACTATTTTCAATAATATTTCATGGTCCTGACTGCACTGACATACCTTTTACTATGTGCACTTTTTGAAATCAGTGACTGACAGCTGGATTTGGACATATGTGACTTCCCAGATAAGTATGAAAGTCTTTGAAAACAACAACTTTCAGTTTTGAACTTCCATTATGAAGTTGTTATTAACTGTCCCATTGAATGCGCTCCTCTCATAACCCCTGTTATCCAATGTACACAAGCTCTTTTTAACTGATTTTAACTGATTTATGTACACACCTTATGAAACAGGAGACAATACCTTTGATGCTTTGAAATGTTTTACCAGTTTACCATTAATAATGTAATCATACCTTAAGCAATTCAAATTTTCAGCTCTACTTTCACCAGAGGGAGCAAAAGAAATTACAAAGTTATCATATAATTAAATAAATCATATGTTTTATCCTTATATTGTTTCTCCTTTACATCATTAATGTATTTAAATAAACAAATATGCAAGCAAAAACCATGTTTGTCCTCAAAAAACGAATTGCATACAGACAGCTGGCCTACTGATACTCAACCCTACAAAGCTCATGCTGGTGAACCAGCATCACCAGCTCCATTTTGCTTGAGAACAGCATGGATATGCTGGTCCACCAGCTATACCAGCATAAACCAGCACTATACCAGAACTAACCAGCATATACCAGCATAAACCAGCACTATACCAGAACTAACCAGCATAAACCAGTACTATACCAGCCTGGACCAGCACTATACCAGCGTAAACCAGCACTATACTAGAACTAACCAGCATAAACCAGCACTATACCAGCCTAAACCAGCCTGGACCAGCACTATACCAGAACTAACCAGCATAAACCAGCACTATACCAGCATAAACCAGCCTGGACCAGCTTGGAATACATGCTGGTTTATGCTGGATCTTTCAGCAGGGTTGTTTTAGAGGGTTAGTTTGTTCATCCAGTGTTGAGGATAGCTGAACTAGATTGTGCTGTGGACATTGACTGTGGTCATATTTTGATATAACCCATTTGTACAATTGTCCTCTTAATATGCTTTGAATTACCTTTCAGGCTAACAGGTGTATTGATATTGAGGACACTTCAAGGTGTATTTAATTCCGTATTACATGAACAGTTCTGATTTTTAGGATACACATTGGCTTCTTCTCCATCAAAGAGTGAAAATGTACAACATTGCATGTATGCTGCATGCCACAGTCCAAAGACATACAGGTCAGGTGGATTGAATACAGTAAACTGGCTGTAGGAGTGTGTGTGTGTGTGTGTGTGTGTGTGTGTGAAGGAGAGAGAGAGAGAGAGAGAGAGAGAGAGAGAGTGTGTGTCCCAGCACTGGGGTTGTAAGAGTTAGTGCAATCTCAGTACTAGAGTTGGGCATAAAGCATTACACAGGCCGCGATCAGACCGAATGCGTTTTTTAGGTCTGAAAACGTGAGGCGCACCGCACTGCCTTTTTTGGTGACTTTTTGGTGGTTTTTGCTGTTAAGTAAACTGTCATATTAGCAAAGACCTTAAGAAATACAGCTCCGGGTAACCTGCAATAGACACCAAAAGTTTCTCCTCCATCATTGCAGTCTCCGGACTTTCTAAACAACGGTAAATTTTCATCACCACAACGGAAGTCCTGCCTCTCCATTCATTCAATTGGACAATGGAAAAAAAATGCGAATGACGTCAGGCGCTTTTCTGCTCAGAGTTGCTTTTTTTTTCAACTTTTTCAAAAACGCGAGGCACCCAGGATGCATAAAGAGTGCGCAAAACGCTCACTCCCAATAGGAAACAATTTTAAAAAGGTGCCTCTCACTGCAAAAAACGCATTCTGTCTGATCAGGGCCTTACACAGTACAGCGTTACTGCATTCTAATTATTTTCCTGATAACGCAGTAATGTAATGCATTACATTTTAAACTTATGTAATTTGATTACAGTTACTAATGTCAATAAAAGTATGTTACTTAAGTTACAAATGCAGTGTTAAGAAAAAATATGAAGTAAAATGCATTTTAAAACCATGTTTTGCGTGTCAGTTTGCCCTTTAATAAATCACCGGTGAATGCGAGCTAAAATGCAGACGAGTCGTACAACATTTAGATGCAATGATCATATTTCAAAATGGTGCACTTGATTTCACATATTTTAGTCTGGCATTATTGTTTGGGAAATGTTCAACTAGTAAATGTGTACAAGTTTATGTCACAATAACACTAATATAAGTTAAAAAAAAAACTCATCAGAAATGATCTGCTCCGCTGAATCAAGCCGCGCCATGCATCGCATTCTAAATACAAGGCTTATTCCTCACAGCGTGTCCTCTTCCAAAAACAAAAAGTATCCTAAATTAACTTGATAAATCTTACACTTTGTTTACGGAGGTGATGTGGGATTTTACATGTTCGCACGTCTCACATGGATGGTTATCGTATAGAACGTGATGCACATGGGTGTGACAACATTATAGATGAGCTCAGACAGGAGAGACTGTGCCTCGTTGGTTTCATACGGATTACTTTATCAGAGAATACTTGTTTTTGACATGATTTACTTCATTTAAAAATAGACACATCAAGCTTTACATATATTTCTCATGTCTGTGTGTCAAGTATTCGCTGAGTTTTCATTCATTTTAGTGACGCGTTTTAGAAAGATATTCGCAGAACATCTATATAACTGCATATAGATATTACTGCAGAAAACGCACCTTATTTTTCAGTCAATATTAAATTACTGAAAGAACTATGAGTTTCACTTTGATATAACGCAACTTGAAAAGTAAAGTAACTTGAAAGTAATTAGTAAACTGATTACTTTTTAAATGCGGTAATCAGTAATGTAATCAAATTACAATTTTATCGTGTACAGCGTGTGTCGGAAACGATAAACCCATTGCCATAGTTCTGTATTTTGAACGCTCTACAGAAAATGAAAACGTAGAAAATAGCTGGACATTATGCAAATGTGTTACCCCGTGACATGTAGACTCGTTTCGGCTGTTCAAAGTCAATTCTTTCTTTTGGGGGACAATGACTTTATTTATTGTGCACTTTTAGCTTTACAACTGTGCAGACCATATACATTCGCATACGGCGACATTACACACAGCTTGAAATATTCATAATAGGGGCACTTTAAGACCGTTTCCTGCACAGTTCAGTGCAAGTTTTGTTCTCATCTGATCAGTGTCAGTGCAGTCAAATTGATAATATTGCTGAATATTAAGTGTCTTTTAAACAGACTAATATTTGTTGACATACGTACAGTAATCTGGCCTAAAACATGCCAGCCTTGAAAAGATATTTGGATAGAGTTGAACATTTTCTGATTCTTTATTGTTGTTCATCACTTGGATTGGATAAATGCAGAGGACAAATTCAGAGTATGGGTTACAATAATTGGCTACAGCCACTGGCTGCGAGAAAGACAATGAATGAATCGGAATAAATATTTTTGGTGCATAGAATTAAATTAAGTGATGATGAATCAGAGGGACTGATCGCTGCTTACCACTTGATTTAAGAGAAGATATACAGTAGAAGCGCTGCAAGTCAGTGGCAGTTTATTTGAACAGATGTATGAGAAATATGATTTGCTACAGTCCATTTTTCATTTGTGTTTATGTCCAGATACAACATTCATCAAGTAGTCTGTGACACGGATGATTCTGAATTATCAGCTTTTGTTTCATTAGCTATAAATCTCTTCTGTGGCTGGACTGCTGTCACTGACGAAGTATGTACTCTGTTCTTCTTTTTGTAGAAGTTCTTCATTCCACAGAAGCAGAGCAATGGAGATCTCTATGGAATGAATCACAACAGATACATGGTGACTGACAGATCTGTGTATATAGGTGAGAGCATCCTCGGCATTGATTAAGCTGCTGAAGTCATATTGTGAATTGAGGGAAAAATCGTGTTTGAATCATGTCTTCTCCTAAAACCGTGTTTCTGGGCTCTCAGGGAGTTTAAACTGGGTGGGCAACGAGTTTGTCTACAGCGCCGGTGTTGGTGTGGTGATCAGTCAGCAGGTGGAGCAGAACAACTCGACTGTGGTTGAACGGATGAAAGCTGTCTTTGAACGAGACTGGCATTCCCACTACAGTAAAACTCTCCAGCCAAACAAGATCCCAGTGTGCAGCATGCACACGGTCAAACAGCAGCCTGCGGCAAGCCTTTCTCTCTGAAAACATGTTTGAAAATCACACGCAAACCTTAAACTTATCAATCAGTTTCCTTTAAACTGTACCAAACACTCTGAGTTCATACAGCAACTCATACATGTTTTCAATTTCACTTTTGTATTCATACAATTTTGAATGTGCTTCCAGATATTTGTATGCATAAAATGGTGAGGCATAATTAATATTATGCATTATCAAGCACTGTATTTGAAAGTTAATTTCATCATTCATTTTTACAGGCAGGTTTTTACAAAATCTTTCTACAAATGTTCATATATCTTGATTTTTTGCTGATTCGGTGATTTATGTTGATGCATGTTGATTCAACACATGCTAAAATATGCTGGTAAACTAGTAGTTGATTTATTTGCACTCTGTATTTTAACTAACGTTATGACTGTCCTTCAATGAACATACATTTTCTGTCAGAATTTGTGTTAGAAATAAACCAGGAAATATTACTCAAATTAATGTTAAAAATTTCATTTTCATGCTGTAAAATGTTCTTCACTTATGGGTAAACAGAAGTTTGAGATACCTGAGCAGTGGCATAATCTTAGCGAAAACAATATTTGGACTATATTCAAAAATGACCTCAAGTTAGCGTCAGGTAGTTAGTATTTAAAATATAACAATATTTTCCAATATTTTTGTAATTCATAATTATTGATTATATTCTTTTTAATTTTAAGCTCTGATTTTGCTGTGAATGTATAAATCAAATTGCTTTTTACCCCACCTTAATTTTTATTTTTTTTTTAATCTGACATTAAACATGAAAACTCTAGACATTTTTATACTTGGTTTATAATTTATGTCTTTGTCACTAAAACTATGATAACTATTCTGGACGCATTTAACTTTTGTTTCACAGAAAGAAAACACACACACTGCACATCCTTAAGGGGGTGTTTCCCCACTCTACTCTACTAGCTATAATTTCCCCTCTAAAGCAGTGCTCCAGTGTTTGGCTTGACTCACATCTGAGCTTGTTGGACTGGACAGAAGAACTTAACCAGCGGAGCTTTCCACAGCGCCACAGACCAGTGGTAGTGTAGACAAGCTGTTTCCAGCAACAAATTAACTTTGTTTTGTTTTGTTTTTACAAATACAAATATACAAAGACTTTCAGGAGAACATTAAGATCAAGGGAGTACAGATAATCATGAGCATATATATAAAGAAGATTAGTAAATTACAAACAAAATACCGTACATTAAGGAAACAATGATAACAATATATTGTGCAATGATTAGACCTATGATTGATTATGGCAGCATAGTATATAGTTCGGCATCAGTATCTATGTTAAATAAATAAATGGTATTCAATCTCAAGAGAGATTGAGAATGAAAAGGAAAGGTGTATGCCTAAAGAAATAGTAGTGGATCAATATTTGAAGCAAAACTATTTTAACAGTATTCAAATATATACGGATGGGTCAGAAAATCCAGATTCTGGGTATACAGCAGCAGCCATATATACTGCATATATATATCCCCTATTTTAACTATAGCACAGTTAAGAGGTTATCTAACGATGTATCTGTATTCACAACAGAAATGATGGCAATTCTAATGGCTCTGCAGTGGGTGGAAGAAATCAATCATAAGTGTAGTAGTTTCTTCAGATTCATATTCAGTATTAAACAGTTTAAGTGGGAAATCAGCATCTAGACAGGATATACTTTATGAAATTTTACAGAATTTATATAGAATAAACCAAACAGGAGTAAGAGTAGAGTTTTTATGGATACCTGCCCATGTAGGTGTAGAAGGGAATTATGAATAATATTATATTAGAAGGAAGTGTGTGGCAAGATGTATGGAATAAAGAGTCAAAAGGGAGACACTTATTTAGCATTCAACAGAAAGTGGGGATTGAAAGAAAGGTATATGGAAACAGAAGATACTGTTATAACCAGGATCCGTATAGGACATAACAAAGAGTGAAAAATTTAAGGGGGTCTGAATACTTTCCGTACCCACTGTATATTCCCTATTTTAAATATAGCACAGCTAAAAGGTTATCTAACGATGTATCTGTATTCACAACAGAAATGATGGCAATTCTAATGGCTCTGCAGTGGGTGGAAGAAATCAATCATAAGTGTAGTAGTTTCTTCAGATTCATATTCAGTATTAAACAGTTTAAGTGGGAAATCAGCATCTAGACAGGATATACTTTATGAAATTTTACAGAATTTATATAGAATAAACCAAACAGGAGTAAGAGTAGAGTTTTTATGGATACCTGCCCATGTAGGTGTAGAAGGGAATTATGAATAATATTATATTAGAAGGAAGTGTGTGGCAAGATGTATGGAATAAAGAGTCAAAAGGGAGACACCTATTTAGCATTCAACAGAAAGTGGGGATTGAAAGAAAGGTATATGGAAACAGAAGATACTGTTATAACCAGGATCCGTATAGGACACTCTAACCTTAATTATTCATTGCATATAATAGGAAAAAGTGAGTCAGATAGCTGCAGTTACTGTGGAATAACAGAAACAGCTGAACATGTGCTCTTACATTGTGAGGCGTATAATAGACAAAGAAAGCAGCTTGATATCCTCCTGACTACCAGGAAAAACAGGTTTGTGAATTTAGTATTTTGTCATGTCATTACATTGTTTAGAGCATAAGACAAAATTTGAAAAATGATATTTCGTTCATATGTTATGCCATGTCCTCTGTAGAAGACATCGGGACGCCAGAAGTATGGACATGTTAGTGCAGTTTGCAGAGGAAAGCAATGTTGTGCGAGATGTGGGGGTGATCATGTATATGGTAAATGTGGCGAAGGAGCGAAGGCAAAATGCTGCAACTGTGGAGGTGAGCATAGTGCTGGATTTGGGGGATGCATTGCTCACAAACATGCTGTGAAAATTCAAAATGTGAGAATAACTGAGGGGTTGACATGCTGAAGCAACCCAAGAAGCAAAACAAAATGAACAGATACAGAGAGAGATAAAAATACAAGAATGGACTGGGAATACTGTGGCTCAGAGAAAGATAAAAGAGGATAGTTTGGTGATCGGGAAAATGGAATTTGTTTCATTTATGGCTGAAGTGGTAAATTGTTCTGCTCAAACAGAAACCAGAACGGAGAGAATTAAAATCATAATAAGGGCAGCTGAGAGATACTTTAATGTAGCAGGTGTAACGTTGGAAAAAATAAATGACATGCTAAAGACTCAATCTAGTACTCAAACAACATATGGAAGTACATAATAATAATAATAATGCTTTTAACGATTCTGCCAGAACAAGGTAAAATATATGGTGCTATTGTTAAATACATTAAAGAAATAGGATTAATCAGGAGAATTTAGGAATGTGTGTTTTTTTTATTTTTTATTATATAAAATATAGATAAATATAAATATGTATATATTAGTTGCTTATTAGTGCTCCACACTCCAGTCCAGTTGGTGGCGGTAAATGCACCAGAAGTTGGTTTGCCATCCGCCATAAAACGTTATTAGAAGAAGAAGAAGGACGGGCCCGGGGCCCCAGCGCTCGCCTCGCTCCGGCGCAGGAGGTGGCGGTGCTTAGCCGAGCACTCCAGCTCGCGTCACGGCGAAGAAGGAGAAGTGACGCCCGCAGTGACGCATCGGTTGCTACGGTTGCAGATTATGTTGCACACATCCGGGGTGTCCGCGGCTCGTGCGCTCGCCTGTGTTTTTAACGCAGTTCTCTCCACAGGCGCGGAGTAACGCGTGCGGCGATGTGAGTGATCATGGCCGATGACAGCGAGTGGGTGTTGGAGAGCATCGCGGGCTACCTGAGCAGCCCAGACTGGCTCATCCCACTGGCAGACTTCATGGAGAACAAATGCTCAGGTATTACACGCAGCCGTGACGCGCAGAACGCCGCAGAACGTGCGCATTTTAGCTTCTAGATGAGCGGTTCTTTACGCGTGCCTATTGTATGGCAAGCCGGTTTTATCTTAAAATATTAGTAATTGCATTTTTACTAGTAAGAATTTCATTTAGAGAGCTCTCTAATTCAATTGTTACTAGTAAGAACTGAATGAGAGAGCTCTTTAATTCAATTACAGAGCTCTGCAATTAAACATATCTTTAATGTGTTTTTTAATGATAAACGTTGAATCCGAGAGCTCCGTAATTGGATTTTTACTAGTAAGAATTAAATCAGAGAGCTCTCTAATCAGAATTGTTGCTAGTAAAAAAATGTAATTAGAGAGCTCTCTATTTGGATTTAATCATGCAACTACGACGAGTAACACTGGGAATATTTTAAGCTAAAGCGGCTTGCCATAATATTGTTCATGTGTTGGTGTGTTTGGTGTGGTTTCAGTGTTTGACGATGAGGATGAGAATAAGCTGACGTACACGGAGATCCATCAGCAGTACAAGCAGCTGGTGAGAGCCGCTCTGAAAGGCATCTGGTGAATGAGTGCACTGTTCTGATCTGTTCTGATCTGATCTGTTGTGATTGATTGGAGGTGGAGCGGCTGCTGCAGAACCACATGCAGGAGGTGGGCATCAGTGAGCAGCAGTTCCTGCACGCCTGCTCCTCTTTCAGCAAGACTAAGACTCTACAGGTAAGAGGCCGAGGGTAGCGTCTCGTGAAACCACAGCCCTGTGCGCTGGATGACTGATCACTGAGCGCTCTTCCATTATTTACTGTGCTGATCTGATGGAGCTTGCGCTGGGCTTTGCTCGGTGTTCAGGGGAGAAGAGTTTTCCTGGAGGCTGCAGTTTCAGGAACGCATTTCTTCGACCCTATAGTTCATTTTATTATTATTATTATGTTTTGTACCCAGATAGCACACATACGTCTGCAAGATGTCTGTTAAAGATCGCTTAAACCGGAAAGGATCTGCTGTGTACAAACATCTGACAGACGTCAGTTTTACATGCATTCATAAACATCTTAAAGACATCTAATAAACGTCTATTTGACATCTGACAGAAAGCATCCTATAGATGTACTGCAGATGAGCAAAAACACTTTTAAAGTTTGAACAGATTCTTGAAACACTAGGCATCACACACTCCATGACCTTGTAAATAGTGACGGAGGAACACGGGCATCATACACTACACGACTGAAGATCACACTCCACCAGCCCTCGAAGTCATTCCCATCACAACTAACTGACGCAGAAACCTGGGGCCCGTTCTTCGTTCCTCGCTGAACACATCTGAGCTGATCTGAAAGATGCCAGATCTAGTAATCCTGATAACTGATCTCTGGCTAATTTGGTTCTTCAAACGAATGTGTGGATTTGATTAAAATATCTGGATGAAGTTGTCTAAGATTACTGCGTGTTCTCGTGTTCCTCGTAAAGGGCAGATGTACGGAAACCACGATCAGCGACGCAGCGATTGGCTGCGGCAGGACAGCAACGTGATGACATCATAACATTACAAAAAGACACCTGACGGAAAAACTTGACACATTTCTGCAAACAGCCAAGCGAACAAAACTGCATAAATGGTATAAAAGATCAATGAAATGTGCAGGTTTTTTTTATTTAAAAATGTTTTACATTTATTTATATTCACAATTTCTAGTATTTGTACAGGCTTTACATTTTTATTTCATTGTTGTAATTAGCAGTTAATTTAATTTGATCTTTGAAGCAGATTTGTTGTGTGACAGCATTAATGAAAGTGTCTTTAGTGTCTGCGTCTCCTGCAGCTCCAGCAAGCCACGCCCATAATATCTGCCAGCACTCAAATTAATGCACTGTACAGCATGTGTGTAAGACTCCAATACAGCTATGAAGTGATTATTTTATCATGAATTCATCTCTCAGTGAGTAAAACTGGCCGTGTCTATAGTATTAAAGACTACACAACAGTATTATATTATCTTTCAATTAATTTTTAAATTATTATTATTGTAAATAACTGTCCCTGTATCGGTAGGATACTCTTGTAATAAAGTAGCGGTGGCTGGGACAGATTTTAAGTATCAATTCTGCTTAAAAAGATACGATCTAGTCCTGTTTACACGAAATAAGCTGCTCCAGAGCCGGTTTAAGCTTACGGAGCTGTTGCTATGACAGCAACTCCGGGATCAGCTTCGAAGAACCAAACAATCCAAGATCAGGCCAAATCATCAACAATCACATCCAGCTGAGTGAGTTAGCCATGTACGAGGAACGGGCCCCTGTGCCTTGTTGCTAGGAGATGCATGACAAATGAAAACAATATGGGTGAATTCCAAACAGAAGTGAGCATCCCTATGCCCTACTCCCTTCGAAGGGCAGAGCCCTTGAAGTGTGTTCTTTGAAGGGTGCAGGGCATTACTGTCTCGTATAAGCGCTTGGAACTCCCTTGACAAAGGGAATGACTGACCAAATGTTACCTTGACAACGCTGCGCGTGCGTGCAGCATTCAGTACTCCATCAGTTGTTGCAAATAGCCTAAATATTTCTTCTTATCATTATTATTTTATTCAAATATTGTCTTATTTACTATTAAACTTTTTCAAACTAAACTTGCTTACACTGCCGTCTTAAATCATCCCTTGGCGAAGGGAATGACTGACCAAATGTTACCTTGACAACGCTGCGCGTGCGTGCAGCATTCAGTACTCCATCAGTTGTTGCAAATAAATATTTATTATTATTATTATTGTATTAAAATATTGTCTAATTGTCTTATTTACTATTAAACGTTTTCAAACTAAATTTGCTTACACTACCGTCTTAAATCATATTTCTATCACTGACGAAAAATATGTTGTCTTGCATTAAAATAGACAAATTTAATTAGCCTATTCTATTTACATTTGTATGTGAACTCGAAATCAACCCCAACTTTGCTTTAAAAAGCATCACAAGATCTCCTAACCGAAGATCACATGATCACTAACGGAAATCACTTCCGTGAAGTGACCATAGCATGCTCCCTTCGCTAACGGACCTCTGGAAGGGCCCTTCGTGAAGGGATTCATTTGGAACGTCCCTACAAATGGCATCCCCTTCCCAAAGTGCCCTTCATGGGTGCAAAAAAGCTGTTTGGAATTCGCCTTAT